TCCGCATCACGGAAACGCGTACACGCCACGCCGCGCCGTGTGTACGATGAAAATAATGAGATTGATCGCTCACTCTTGGCGCCGTGGTTCGCGTTGTCATTATGTGACGAAGCGCACAATGAAACACTGTGGGAAAGATAGCAAACATGTATATTTAACAACGAAGACTGAATTGTTTTAAATATTTTAGAAATATATCCTTTGTATCGTTAACCGTGAGACTGGACGAGAATGGAAATTCTTGATGCAATTGTCCTATTACTGTAATAACTACAATTAATTGCAAAAAATGTGTATGAAATAAAAATTCATTTATATCATTTCGGAATATTTTATGAAAAAAAAAAGGTACTTCCCTCAGCAACACGCGTCTTACCACCAACATCATTTGTTTGGTTTCTATAGCAATTTTCAATAAATTATACACACATGTTTCAAAATGTCAAATATGTAAAATATCTTGTAAACTATTAGTCTTTTACGGTGAAAACTTTACGAGTAATTTTAATATCCGAAGATCAATCATAATTCCAAGTTTCGCTAAAATCAGAGCGTTAGATTTCGAGAGCTCCCTTATAAAAGAAGATTATTTATAAAATTACTAACTAATATAAATTAAGATAGAACAGTAAAAACAGATCCTAAACTTTTACAAAAGATTTGAACAATATGTCACGATTGACTTACAAATTTGTATGATGATAGCTCTTTCAGCTACATATCAATGCATTTTCAACGTGATTAATTTTGTGAAAGACCCAAGCGAGGATGGAAACCTAGTAAGGTATCAATTGTATGTGATACTAACTGCTATTGACCTCACTATTATGGGCAGTATCATATCATCAGAAGAAATAGGAGAAATGTTGATCAAATCATTACACACAGCTAAGGAAAAATCTTACGCAATATTGTCACAAGAAAGAAGGTGTTACGGATGTTGTGCTCAAGATAATAAGATAATAAGATGATAATGGTATTGAAAAGCCTATTGGGTCATCCAAGATTGCGTCAGATCCTTTCTTCGACTATCTGATACCAAGCTTTAATCTTAATATAGTATTAGACAATCCAGTGACATCTGATCCGAAAGAAGTGGAACTTTAACTTCTCAATCCAACTGAACGGAAGGAGAAATTCATTTTTTAAAAGGTGAAATCTACCCATTCTTTTATTTACCAACTAATAAATTATAATTAATAAGTTATACAATAAATAGGAATAAAAAGTTGCACGCCTATGGATATTTCTATTGGAACAAAGTGAACACGTTAATAATTGATCGAAAAATATGCCGGTACCAGATATGGTCGTTTGCACTCTGACAGTGAACGCGCTAAATACTAGCCTGAAGGAGGATCAAAGAGAACCTCGAGAAGCAACAGTAAGACGTATCCAGACGAAATTGCGCGTAACAGACACGGGGCGTGCAAAAATGATAATCTGGCCCGTGGGACAGGCACGTTCTCTTGCCACGAACGAGACGGATAATTTATGGCGGATGAAACGGTGATGCAATTGCGCTCGTACATACGTTGCACGCTGAATATGGGGTAGGAACCAGTTGACTTTGACCCCGCATGAACCGTCGAACGAGTTGCATACATATCTCTCGTACGTGTATGTACATCTTTGCGTGTACGAGTCGTTGGATGAACACGTGTCACGTCAAACGACAGGTAACAGGCTTGTCGGTCGATTAAGCTACGTATGTCTCCTTTCAAATTCTGTGACATTAATTCGTTGACATCGGTAATTCAACGGGGCTTGATTCATTGCTCGTCACAAAACGCATATTACATGTATAGCGTATAAGGACGTGATGCTCGTTAAAATTTTGGATGATTGGAAAGGTTAAGACGAAAGAGATTTTGTTGATTTTTCGAAAAGATTAATTGTTATGTGAGGGGTATTGGTACGACCGATGGATGAATAAAAATGTAATAATTCTTCTGGATAGTTTAATGAAATTTGCTATAATGTAATTTTATAAACCGCGAAGGAAATTCATATATAAAAGTTTTATTTTTGAGTAATTTTATAATAGGAAGTTTCTTTAAAAAAACATGAAATATTAACAAGATCCAACACAATTCTTACGAATACAAATTCGGTTGAAATTAATGCTAATTGTGAGATTAATAAGTAAAGTAGTGTTATTTTTTTGTTTTTCTCCTGTTTAAGGAATTATTAAAATATTCTATCTTTTATTGTTTTAAACACTAGGTCATCTTAATTTAAAACTTCAAAGCTAAAATGTTACTTTTTAAAAATAAAATATAAAATATCTCACTAGTTTCCCTTTGAGATTGTATAATCTTTTAATTAATAATATCAATGCTATGACTTTATTTATCAATCAATTGAAGATATATATCTTACTACTATCACTGTCAGACTAAACCAGAATGATAGGAGAAGGAAACGAACTTCTGATAAGAATTAAAATTATTTTTCTTGTTTTTAACATTGCCAAGGAAGAGGATGCTCTCCGGTGCTGACGATCGATCCGATAACAGTAATTACAGTTGCTTTTAAATGGTGGTTTAATTGCTTTAAAATACAGTTAAATGGTGGTTAATTGCTTTAAAATCAGCTTCGTTGATAAATATAGATATACTAAACATAAATATACGCGCAATTTGACTTCTGCGGTAACCGCGAGCACTCAGGCCACCAAGTCTGACTCGCGTTTCAGAGGAAAAGGCTCGTTACAAATGTTACGTAATCATCGCTTTAATGTTACTGCAGCTCAGTTTGTAGAGAATAGGTCTAACTTGACCATTTAAAATAATTTTTAACCACAGTTGATTGTAAGTAAAATTTTGAGAAAAGATATTTCAAATAACGTTTAAAATGGTATTTACATTCTTCAGAGTTCAAATAAAATAATATTTTAAGTAGAAAATGAAGTTTTGATCAAGAAATATTATTTTGTTTGAAATTTTGAATAGTACTTAAAACAGTTTTTCTTTCAATTTTAGTGTAAAATTATTTTCACTGTCGAAATTTCATTTTCTGTTTAAAATATTATTTCATTAAATCATAATTAAATGCCGTTGTTGAAATAATCAAAATGACGCAATTTTTTTAGGTAATAGGGAAAATAATGATACAGGGGAAGAAAACATTCTCAAAATTTTAATTTTAGACGATATTAATATTGAAAGTAATTCAGAAAGTAAATAATATAAATTGTATACTGAATAAAAATACAAATAATAGAATAAATATTAGTTCAATTTTTCCCGCATAAGCGTTTATACATATAGGTACAAGTGGCGGAAGGTCACAGACTTGTATAGATCCCCTTCCCTGTATTGTCAATTTCTCCAGGGATGTCTATGGACAAGGGCGGGAACCCGGGACACCACCGCTTTTTCTATAGAAACCTGATTTAATCGCAATTGTACGTCAAATATATGTATAGCTATAGTTATAAGTTAATTGAGCTCTAATCAAATTAGTCAAACTCTAATCACAACTCAATCTATCAAAGTATACAAGCACGGTGTACTTTTATAGAATTTTGATTAATTATCATCCGTACAAGTTAATTGTAGGCTCCTCTTAAATTATAACTAACGATATCTCGTTAATGTTAAATGATTTCCTCCAATTATTTCGAACAGTGTAGTACAAAATTAATGATATTAAATCTCAGATCTACCCACAGATTAAATACAATACCAACTGAAAAGTATCCAACTTGTAAACGGTCAGAAGTAGGTAACATCATGATTATGTTTACCACTTGGAGAAATCGTAATTCCGTTCGACGTTCGCTATAATTTATTTGACAAATTACACGTTTCGGTTCTCATTAATTGCAGACCTACCATTAAGTTCGAGGCATTGAAAGGGAACAGATTTCCGTGCTCAAGTTAATAGCGTCTGTAAAATAGCTCGTAGTGTGTTGATCCGATATATACATACATATATTGCAACTGGATTGGCAATTGAAAAATTATACACGAAGTCAATCCATCCTCCGTAATTTGCTAGATAAACAGCATCGACGTCTGTAATTGATACTTGCACAACATATTAAGTTAAAAGCGTTTGAAGGCTTAATGTTATCCGAGAATTGCAACAATCAAAAAATTAAACGTCAATCTGTGTATTTGTATCGTAATTTCTTCGAATTAAATTTTCGTGGTACTGGTTAAATAAAAAATTGTTACTTCGTGAATTATACAATTTTTAATATAATTTTATGTTAAATACTAAATGATTTATCTTAATGTAATATTCAAAATACAGGAATAAAGTTCACTTCATCTGTATTTATTTATTGATACAAAAATTGGAATAAACTAAGTAAGTAGAGTTTTATCCTAAATCATTTATTCTCAGGTTTATTAGAAAATCAAATAATAACATGACTGAATATTTCAAAACGTATTAAAAAATTGTAAAATATTTCAGATTGCGGAAAGTTTTGTGATATTCTATAAGAGTTTAATTAGAAGCGTATTTATAAATGTATTAGGTATACAAATCAATTATGTACCTTTTTTCTTAATTGAAAATTTATTTTCAAAAAGTTATGATAGTTCCAATTATTGAAATAATCGATATTTCTATTGTATTCTTGCGCTGCTTTTCAAATACGCAGAAATGCAAGAAAATATTCAAATTTAAAAATAAATACACTGATACTCCTTTTTCGAAGTCAGTTAAAAATAAAAATTAAGCAGGCATAATGCTAAAGGTACTCAATTAATTTGTTCACCTAATATATGATGAAGAAATTTAATTGCTATTAGAATCACCTTATGTAAATTGTTTTCAAGTTCACTAGTGTGAATTTCAAAGTGTTATTATTATTATCTTTTGACAAGGGTTATTTTTATTTATAAACCCTCCAATTATACCAAGTATGTAGTAAAAATTTATATCTATAATACAGAAACTTAATTATCCTTAAAATAACACATTAAATCTGTTAGAAATAAAATTGATATTTGCTGAAACCTGAAACTTTCAACAAGTTCAGAATGACAGTCAAAATGTTAAGTGTCTACAAACTTCTAAACGGAAACGAGGATGATTACCCTTCTACAATACAAGTGAAGCCTGAAAATGTTAAAACAACGTTCCAAGAGATCAAAGCTGATATTTTGACGGTCAGTAAGCAAACTTCGCAATGTACGAAAGGAAGTTTCGTGGTTGCAGACAGGATAGTGAACAGGAGCCACATGTCCACGACGTATCTTTCACAGAGAAAGGAAATCCCGATGATTTCAATAATTTTGCCGGTGCATTTTTTCACTCGAGCTGTCGACAGTGAGAGAAATCGGCCATTCGGTGGCGCGTAAATCTTCCAGCGAAAACACAAAGGTTTGTTTAGGTGTCACGTTTAATGCATGATCGCTCGTTTTCCTTTGCTTATGGCGAAATTCAAGGGTGAATTCAATTGCTAAGTGAATAATTGCGGCACAACATGTGCGTTGCTCGACGAAACACATTTTACCTAGTATTTCATATTTATGGACGCCTTAAGGAACTCGTAGAAATGATTTAAATTACTACTCAGTGATTCTCAACCTTCTGTGTTGAGAAAAGCAATTCGGCAAACAACTATCATCGTTATCGATATTCTTGCGCCATTTATTGGTAGCATTTCAAATCTAAAACAGAGGATGAGAAAATATTCAAATGTAAAATATTACTTAATTAGACCGACGCGACGTAATATTAGCACGTTGACTACTATCCTAAAGTTATTGAAAATTTAATTAGATCATATTCTTATTTTGCACAAATCTTATCCATTATTTTCACAATATTTTCATAATTCCAGATACCTACTCAATACGAACATTTTCAACTAGATAATTTTTAAAAATTTCTAATAACATTGATAATTGAATGCTAATATCGGTGAAATAGCAACCTACGAAGGAATTTCTTTTTCTTTAGATGCAAAACTCGAAGTAATATTAATCAATAGGCTGTCAACGAAACGGCATAGACGTATGCGCCGAAATGTGCATAAATCGTAAAAGTTATTCTCGTTCACACCCTCAACGTATCCACAAATATATCTGGTGAGATAAATTACATTATTCGAGGGTCAATGCGATCGTTCTGTAATCATGCCACGCACATGCCGCTCAATGAAATTGCTATTTCGCGGTATTCCACATTTATCGTTGCTATAAACGAGGATGCGGCCAGACATCAGAATTCTCTCCTCTTATTTTTATTTTTCTCCTTCATCGGTGTGAAAATTAACGAGCTACGAATTTGACGTAAATCAGAGAGAAATACCGATGTAGATTTTCTTAACGACAAATCTTTCTTGTATTGCACTTTAATCGTTCATAAATTAGAATAACATCTGCTTGGTGGTTTCATATATTTTTCTGAAAAATCAATTTTCGAAAAAGATTTTATGAAAATTTTCTTGAGATAAGAGATTCAACTTATTTTATAAAAGAAATTCAGCTAATCCCTATTTAACGTGAAACACGGAATATTATAGCTTAATTTGTTTTATTAAATTAAATTTTAGCTGCAATTGTAATAATTTCAAATTTTGTATGGTAGATTTTATCAAAAACATACACATTTACATTGTCGTTGTTACACTGTTACGATTAAAATCATATTTTACATGAACTGTGTAAAAATGGAATAAAACTTGAGATAAAGGGTCTAACCGTACAAGCATGGTGAATCGGTCCCCAACAACAATTTCGGTTGATATTTAAATCGCATGCTTTTTGCTTAAAGAACTGTGAGGAATTTCAACCCCTACCCCTCCCTTTTTTAAGGGGCATATGAGGGGAAACAAACCTAAATTTTACTATTTTTTTTTTCTCGGAATCTTTTAAGATATTTGAGCACACTAAAGTGCAAATAGTAGGTACTCATTAGCTGTACTTCATATATGTTTTTCAAAATTTCTATCCGATGATTAAGAGTTGAAAAATAAATAAATAATAAATAAATTTTTTAAGGTGATTTTTATAGACAATCCCTTAAGTGACACCCACTGAAAAAATTAAGAATAATCCTTTATTGCTTAATTATTATCTGTAAAAGTTTCAAGAGTGTCGAATTGGTACAACATGATTTAAAAAAAAAAAATAAAACAATTATAACGCCCCTTCATAAGGCAAAGACAGCCTGAACGTTAATGACGCTCAACCTAACCAACCTACTGAGGAACACGTTTCACCGGCCCGCTACAATTTTTATACCAGAAACAGTTCTCAGAAAAATATGAACTTTGTTTGCCTTAAACTGTATGTTTTTAAATAAAAAGCATTTAGTATATGTATATACCTTACACATTCCATTCAATTGCCATTATTCAGTAAGATAGCTTAATTAAAAATATCAATTTGTTAATATATTATTTAAATAAATGACTGTTAGTTAAATGCTTTACACATAAAATAATTTTTAACAAAAAATACAACCGACTTCGAGATGCGCTAAAAAGTATAAAATAATTTATATTTCGTTTATACAATTATTTAACAATTATTAATAAAACCTCTTGCTGCATTAACAAAATGCGCTAAAAAGTATGAAATAATTTCTATTTCATTTATACCAATAATCCACAGCTGTTAATAAAATCTATTTAATCGTTAAATAGTATACTAAATACATTTCAATCTTTTCGGAGGCGGCGTAAAATTAAAAACATTTCTTCTACTAGAAAGATCCCGGTTCAGGTGTCGACAACCTATGACTCACGGGTCACCAAGTGATACATTTGATAATTTCAAGTAAACAATTTTCAACGGGAATCAACACACCCATTGCGGATTAACTACATTACATCAGAAGTGTTGCCAATTTCTGATACAATCGTTACAATTACAAATGTTTTCAGCCGTATCTATAACGTTCCGTATTTTTTCTCGCAACTTATTAATTACCAAGTTCGTTCGTTATTGGGTATTTTTAACTCGGGTACTTTAATTCGGGTATTTTTAATTTTGCGCCGCCTCCGAAAAGGTTGAAATGTATTTAATATACTACATATTTAACGATTAAATAGATTTTATTAATAGCTGTAGAGTATTGGTAGGTATAAATGAAATAGAAAATATTTCATACTTTTTAACGTATTTTGTTAATGCAGTAAGAGGTTTTATTAATAATTGTTAAGTAATTGTATAAACGAAATATAAATTATTTTATATTTTTTAGCGCATCTCGAAGTCGGTTGTATCTTTTGTTAAAAATAATTTTATTTCACACTTTTTAGTGGAACGAGCAGTATTTTTGGAATATCGTAAGGCGGTTTTACGTTTTTATTTGTTAGGTAATAACCATAAACAAAAGAAAATATATTAATCAAATTTAGATGGTTAATAAAAAAGCTATAATTGATCTTGGCAAAAAGAATTTTGCAAAAGGCCGAACGTCGCTCTTAGTTGTGTCAAAAGTTTAGATGGTCTAACTTTATATGATTTAGTTATCTGATAACACGCATGACGAAAGGGCACTCACAGAAATGCAAAGATAACGACGGTTTCTTTTGCAAAGAAACAGTCCAAACCAGCTTCCAGCGACCGATACATGAAGGGGCAAGCCAACCCTTCTTTTTTTAGCGACCAATTGATAAAGAAAATGACGAAGTCTACTTTCACGGACAATGTTGAAAAGTCGCAATCGGTACATTCCTTGCAGAGTAATGGCTATGCATTGCAGACACCAAACAAGGAATATTTTGCAATAACAATAGTTATTAACAATAACAAATTCCATAAATTTTTGCAAGTGAGATCGTCGCGGAAATATCCCTTATTAGATGTGAAAGCTTTCATCGCGATTGGTACATTCCTTACAGAGTAAACGCCGAAAAATATAAATTACGTTTTCTGCAATAAAAATCGTCAGGAATAAACAAATGCAGAATATTTTTTTTACGGAACCAATCGGGAGATATACTCTACAAGATGCAAAAGTCTTATTCGTTTCGATTGATCCATCCGTGTCGGAGCAATCGGTGAAAAATATAAATCAAGCATTATGTTTTTTGCAAAAAAATGATTAGCAATGAAAAAATGTAAAATGTTTTTTTAACAGGACCAATCGGAAAAAATGGTATAAAATGGTATAAAAATCATGACAGACCGGCGAAACGTATTCTTTTGTAGGTCAGTTACATTGAGCGCCACTAACGTTCAGCCTGTCTTTGCCCTATGAAGGGGCGTTATATTTGGTTTCTTTTTTTTTAAATCATGTTGTACCCATCCGACACTCTTGAAACTTTTACAGATAATAGTTAAGTAATAAAGGATTATTTTTAATTTTTTCGGTGGATGTCACACAACGGATTGTTTATAAAAATCACCGAATAAAAGTTTAAAAAAATATATATGAAGCACAGCTAATGAGTACCTATTATTTGCACTTTAGTGTGTTCAAATATCTAAAGCAGTTTCCGAGAAAAGAAATAGTAAAGTTTAGGGTTGTTACCCGCATATCTCCTTTATCAGTGAGGGTAGGGGGTTGAAATTGCTCACAGTTGTTCTTTAGGCAAAAAGCATTATGTGCTATCAACTGAAATTATTGGAACCAAATTGTTTCGTTTTCAAAATTGATTAAGTGAAACTTAAAATAATTATAAGAACCATAAAACAAAAGGTCATTATGTTTAAATAAAACCGGGTCAATGATACCAAATAAAATATTGTAAAACTTTACTTATGTGATAATAAGACTTGTGTTCTTCTTGTTAGTAAATTAAACATTATAACCTTTTCAAACCATTAAGGTAATGTTGAATAATTACTGCAATTCTCATTCCCGTTGTTGAACATCCTGAAATCATTTAAAAGCTCGCAATAAATGTATCCTCTATAATCAGTGCAGCTTCATTTCCATAAAAATCTCGTAACAAGTAATGTTTCGTTATTCAAGTACCATTCTTAACACGATCACTATCTTGAAGACACAAACTGAATCCTATATTTAGAAGATTGATAAACATCCTATAATTAACAAATTGAATCCTCTTCTTTGATTATAATGTAGTACAATCTATCACATATCGTTGATTACAGTACCTAGAAATTTCAATTGAAACGCAAGGAAGTTAGTGAAAGTAAAATTATAGCTAGTAAACGTTTAAAGTGGAAGAGTTAAATGAGTAGAAATTGGGCGGCAACATTCAACGGTATAAATTCAACGTTAAGTCCTCAATTTGCGATTCAATAGTCATAATAACGTGTCGGGTGTTATTCAATTTACTCAGACGTTCTCAGCGAACCTGTGACGTATCAGTAACAACATTGAAGCAGTTACTGGATGAGTAAATAAACACATTCAGGACATAAATATGTACATACACTGCCGGATTAAAAGGAGGTCTAAGGGGGGCTACAGCTTCGGGCTCCACTTTGTAAATTCTTTGCAGGTGCCCCGTTATCAGTCCATTTATTAGATATGTCAAAAATCTTTGAATGACGTACTGTTGCCCTTTTTCATTAGCATTAAATGTTTATTAATTTTATTAAGAATAAATATTAATTTTTAAACTAAGTTTATCAACCAAGGGAGCTTTTGAAGAAATTTTAATTCAGCCCTGTGTAACTAATGTAGCTAACGGTGTGATCCTAATAATTCATTACAAAATTAGCAAAATTAGCAAAATTAGCAAAATTAGCTTGAGCATTAATAATGTAACTTTTCATTGAACATTTCGAACCCTTTATAAAAATATGGAGATTTTCTGTATTTCAAAATCTGCCATTTAATGTGCAGTAACTCAATAATTTTAACTGCTTAAAAACAATTACAGTAGAATTTCGATTATCCGAACTAATTCTGTTTAAAATGTTCGGATAATCGAATTTTTCAGATAATCGAACGATTTATATTAGAAACACATTACGTACGAAAAATGATAATTTATTACATAATATATGTATGCATTACATACCTATATTGTTTACTTATTTTTATCCTCCCAATATTTTGTGCTGCCAAATTGCATTTTTCTTCTAAGTTAACAATTCCTACTGTATCATATTGTGCTGATTAACAAAAAATACAATGATCATTATTTATTATAACTGTATACCACATTTCTAGTAATTCTGTAATATCTTTTCTTTAAGAAATTGTGTCAGTTTTGATTCAAAGTAGGCCAAATTTAAAAAATAAAGATTTACATCATATTTCGCACTGTTATATAAGTCAGGAACATAAATTGTTTCTCTCCAGTTTCTAAATTGAAAAAATAAAATTTGAAGAGTGGAAAGAAACCTAGGAAATTCAATAAACACAAATTAACTTCAACCTCCAAATGAACTAATCCTTCTTTTTTTCACAAAATTTTACCTTGAAACTATACTGTAAATCTGTCTGAAATTTGAAAAAGAAAGAATATCTAATAAAATTAATTGGTTCTTGAGAACATCAATTTTAAGTAGGAAGCAACAAAACGATTTTGGGATATCTTTCTATTATAGAAATCGTAGAAAATCCAGCAATAGTTATCGATCGATAAGACCAATTACTCGTCATTATCACGTTGTAATTGTACCGTTCAAGCGTAAAGCATAAAAGCGGTGATGCTCGGAATCGTCTTCCCCTTTAACACACAATTTTCATTTCGTTGAGGCAGACTCTCGAAAGCGGGTAATCGCCGGTCAAAGTATTAATGGTGTTTCCCGATGGAAGCTAAATGAGCATTAAGCATACAGTGGAAGCAGCCAGACCGGTGAGAGATGCCGCACACCGAGCATTATGTTTTCGCTGGCGTTACGCCGCGCTATGATTTCACTGTCCGCTTTATGGTAACTCGTTTCTAGACGAGCGGAAGCGGCCTCGCTCTTCATCGGCTCTAATTACAGCGTTTATCCGACGGTCAGCAGAAAAATTCTGGCGAGCGTAAAGATTACTGCGGCGCGTAACGAAAAACCGACTTGTCTTTATGACGCCGAAACGGAGCTGAATAGCTGGTTAAAAATAGAAAAATTACAAGAACCATATGAACCTAAACGGAGATTGGAGTTCAGTCAATCAAATTGAACGATTTTTCTATGTTTGAACGTTAACATCGATGTCTGACCATTTTTTTGTATTTTGTTACAGCGAGAGTACACAGACGATTGCGTGTTCAACGAGACCCTCGAGCAGCACAACTATAACACCTACAGTTCGGCAAAATGGTCCACGGCAAAGAAGACCCTGTATCTCGGGTTGAACCGGCGTGGACAGCCGAGGAGGGTACAGGCGAAAGGTCACAACCTGGGCAGACTGTCCGCCTACGCGCGAGTATTAACTCAGGTCGCTCCATCGGAGCGGGTGGAGGCGCTTCAAAGGCGGATGTTGGGAGCTCAGCACAACGTTCGTCATCGGCACAACGTGCATCGCGGTGACTTGATCCAACAGTCGCTCTGCCCCACTCTTCCGGTACAGGAAAAGGACGGCAGGGACAAGTTCAGGTGTCGCAAACGTAAGAAGAGGAAGAAGAGGAAGCGACGATGCAGACCGGGCGAGAAACCGGGTCCTCAGTGTCAAATCGTAGAGGAGAAGGGTGAAGGGAGCGCGGTACATCCGGTAAGAAGCGAGGCTTTCCCTTTGAACGGAACTTCCCCGGAGTCAAAGAGATCCTGCGAAGGGGCTGCGAGCGAGGAGGCATGTCGAAGAGAGGCGCTCTCGGTTCCGTCTAAGAAACGGAAGCTGCGGGTCCAAGAGGCGGCCGAGGTGGTGGCAACTGTCGGCAGGAATGTCACCGGCAACAGCAACGGTAAGAGCAAAGCACCAGCGTCAAACGCAAAAAAAGTACACGCCGCTGGCAGCATGAGTCAAAGTAAAAAGCCTAATTTGACGGACGGGAAGAAGAAAAAGAAGAAGGGGCCAGCAGCGAGGAGGAACGGAGCGGTGCCTCTGCCCCGGAAAAGGTTCACGCCTGGGAGCAGAACGGACAACACGTCTGCGGTGCCCACGGCAACTCCCGTACCGATCTTCGCAACGTCCTTCTCCTCTTGGTGGTCTCCTGGTGTGTCAACCGCCCCTTCAGAGAGAGGAGTCTCGCCTAGGCGCAGAGGCAAGCAGGCTTCCTCGCGGAAAAACCAGTCTTCTGGCAATCCACGTAGGGTAGGGAAAGGTTTCGGGAAAAATCGTGCCAAGACGATCGACCGTGCCGTGAATACATACGAGACCACCGTTAATCCCGACCAATCGGTGACCGTGAAAGTTCCTCAGACCGTTTCTGATCGATCTATTCGAAATTCTTCGAGTCTATCCTCCGACGACGTCGCGGACGATGTCTCGAGATCTGAATCCTCGTTGTCTGAATCCTTGTTTATCGACGAAGACGCGTCTTCGACATTTTCGAACGAACACGTGACTGCCGTAATGGATTCGACCACCTCGATCGAGGCTACCGGAACGTCCAGCACGTTCGGGTTGCTCGAGGAGGAGAACAAATCGGTCGAAGAAGTAGCGGACAGCACAGACGACAGCGACAGGTTCGACACGCCAGAAATTATTCAGTCGACCACCACCCCTGGCATACCGTTCGAGAGGTTAGCTATGTAAGCCGAATTACCAGCCTTCGGTTAAACTCGATAGTGTCCACTGGGATGGATTTATTTGTAAACTTACGTGTACATAGTAATCATGATACGATACGATTTACAACATACTCCACATTCATGTATGACGATTGCGTGCGCATGAAGTGTTCCGCGCGTGGAACTCTCGGTGTTTCGATCCGCCGCGGTGCGGCGCGGCACGCCGGTGGCTCTTAATCGAAAGAAAAGAAAATTCACTTGATATATTCTTGGAATTCTTGCTTTATTTTGTGCTTTCGAGGTGTCTTATCCATTAAGATTATTGCACTCGATAGGAAGTAAACCAATCTTAAGTTTGCATGCAACACGAGGATCCTTTTTGCGAATAGTTTGCTAAATTTACAAGAATTTAATTACATTTATTTGTTAATTTTTTATTAGCTAGGCCATCTCAAAATGCGCAAAATAATTATCTTAGAATTAAGCAACGCTATATGCTCGTCGCTTCTAATAAAGGTAGAGATAACCTAACAGAAAAATAAAAGATTACGTATACGTCAGTGCATGCGGTAGACACCTCAAATCATGCATGTTCAGCCTAATTAATTTCATCGAGTTCGACTCGCTTCGATTTCGAGCCACATTTGCGATAATTGCCGCAAAACAAGCGTGCTCACTAGTGTCGACGGAAAGCGATTGGAACGTGAAATGAACCGTGTATGTTTCATGGTACGTCACGAAGGAGCGTGTCGGCCGAGACGGCTTGTCCGCTCGGTCTTTCCTCGTTATTTCGAAAAGACGTAATTACCAACGGGAAGAGACGGGTCTTATCAAACGACGGGTCCCTTGTAACGAGCAGAAAACTCGGCTCTTATTCTGTAAAAACGATTCGCTGTCGCGTATAGAATAGCACCGCGTTCCGGATCGTTCGCAAATGGACTAATTACGCGAACGGCCTCGCGAGCGCAGCTGATTCAAACCGAACTGTTTTCATTAAATGCCTGACTCGTTGGTATTCCTTTACAGCGTGTCCAATGAAGATGTTTTCGCTTATGCCGTGCGAAAATTAATGTATTCGTTCACCATCCATCAGCCCTTCCGTTTTCTAATAAGCCGAAATTCACCTTCATTGGACCGCGATCAATTAAAACTGCTCGCTACAACTGCTCGAGACGCCTTGCACGACGTTAAGTTAAGACCGTCTTTTTAAATTCACTTTCTTAAAAATTTTCAACTTTGTTGTTCGGCGGACGAAGAACACCTTGTACATTATCTGCAATAAGTAGTTATAATTAACACGGCCCGCGATTCGCGGTAAGAGAAGTAATGATAGTTCAAATGAACGGAAGCGAGGAGCACGGGAAACGAGACAATGTGCGATGTCGAACGAAGAGGACTAAGGCTAGGACTAACGTTCGACGAACAACACCGAGAGAGACACCATGGAGAACAGACTGCCAAGGTAATAGCAGGGTAATCGAGGGAATTAAGGAGACGATGATTAGGTCGGCATACGGTCGTCACAAGAGGCCAATCACATACGTCAGATAACTATGAACGTTATTTACGATTTCGCGGTGATTTTCCCTAAGGAGATTACAAGCGTCGCGTGTGTTCCTTTCCTTATTTCTTTTAGGCTAAACGCATCGAAAGTTTGGGTATTCAGGATTTTCAGATAGTGGTGTAAAAAGAAAATTGGATAGGAGAAGTTAGAGTGTTCCTTAATTTTTATGTTGCGTAATCAATTTTATCAATGGTTCTTGAATAATTTCAATTTTAAAGAAAAAAACAATTCTATTGATACTTACTAAACGACTATTGGCAGTGTTTTTAATGTTGTAATTGGCATTTATCAAAATTAAATTAGTTTATTCACTTATCCATGACTAACAAAATTTCTCTTCTGTATTTTATTTATCTACTAAAAATAATAATATTAATAATAATAATAAAGAATTAGCCTAGTTTATTCTTACAACGAAGAAAATACATTTTCTGATGAATGACTATAATTAAATTTCGCAACATAAATGTTAAGGAAATTGACTAGTAGCCTTCTACTGCTAATATCAGTAAAAACGGTATGAAAAGCTTGAATTTTTAAAGAAAAGACCGATAATTTTGTACGTTTTTTAGACAGAGAATCCAAAGTATTAAAACTACTCGCGAAGATAAAAAAGTATTAATATTAAATGAACGTTAAGACGTTCTTTATTCTAACGGAGAGGCAAATACCTATCTGCAAAAAATTTGTAATTCCTCCATGGGAAATAGCGATTAAAGTTGAATATTGTAAACGAGATTTAAATATCATCGAACTTATTATCAGCGTCCCTGGAAGGAAATAGCCTAATTTTTGTATCCTTCCACTTAGCTGATATAATTATTTGAAAATAGAAGAAAAGCATATTGTAAATAGAATCTTGGAAATCTATTATAATGCTCTGTTCATTTTTTCTTTTTTAAAGATCAATCTTAACATTTTGATCGGTGCACATTTCGTATAATTGATGAACTATGTTTGCAAAGTTATTAATTTTTCATTTGAAATTTGTTTAAAAATGACGTGAATAATCACGAATATGTGACACAGGCTGTCAAAGTGTTAAGAAATCACTCGTAAATTATTTATTGCTCGAATATAATTGACGTTACAAAAGCGTAGGAATAATAATAAAAAGTAAAAGAATAAAGATTTTCCGTAGGTACGAACCTCGCAACGTCGCAATAAGGAGGTATTTTTGATGCATTTTCATAGAAAACACTGAACTGCCTTTCGTAAGTTTAAAAAACATCTGGCACGCGGTTGCATTTTATATTTGATGAAACGCGACAGATTTGTGAAGAAAAGTAAAGTAAAGAAAAGAAAAGAAAATCCGAAGGAACTCGATGAGATTCTATCGCGCGCAACGTCTCCTTGAATCTCGATCAATGATTTTTGTCGACATCCGAAGAGAAGCCAGAAATGTCTTGACCTCGCTACGAATCTTTATAGGAACGACCTATTAATGCTAGTAGTATATTTATTGAAGACTTATTTATTGTAAACAGTTGACTCCGTGTACATACGTCTACGATCATTACTCATCAATCATGCGCATCGATCATGTGTTCTTCGTATGTTGTGACTGTCCTTCGGACGTACGAATTCGTCAAAAATTATCGACTAATATTTGAAATATTTTCTTTTTAAAAAAATTATTATACTTGAATTATAGTATGAAATGTAAAAACAAGAGATACGAGGTAATTATGATGTGTGTGAATTTCAATAAATATATTCGAATAAGGGTATTGTGGAAGAGGATGATGATGATATGAAAATGAAAAATGAACGAAGTATCTACATAATTTGATATTAAAATTGTGAGTTGATTAAAAGGCAAATAAAATTAAATAGTAAACGAACGTTTTAATTTGAATAATTTTTGGAGAATTTTCGTTTCTTGTTGTTAACCATCAGCTGATGAATTGAAAGACAGTTGTAAAAGTATGCCTATTAAAATCAAAATATATGCACCTATGAATCAAATAAATGGATAGTAATTAAATTATAAACTGGAAGATGAATATACAGTAGATTCAATTTATTGCTTTTAATAAATCAGTCTTTTGAAACTGAATAAAATTTGAATAAGATGATGTACATACATAAAATCTTATAACAATAAGATAATGAGTAAATCAACACATTTTATATCACTGGAAAATTAAAATTATTGAAAAAGAATTATCGGAAATCAACAGGAAGGTAGCATATAAATCAATAAGTCTACTTTTATCATTTTCATCAACAGAAATTAAAGTTGTTAATAAAAAGTATATATAACACCAAAAAATACAGATAAATGAAAAAAAAAAAAAAATTAAGTAAAATAGATATAAGGTAGAAAAAAAGTTTATGTAATTATTTAGAAGTTTGCCCTCCTCACCGATTTTCGTGATCTTGAAATATGTTGTCAAGGTCATCATTCTGAACAACTTTTCCCTAACATGTTACCGCCGCTCGGCCTTAGTTTCCGAGATATTCGTAAAAAATTGTAGTTATACTTATGTCACCAGTACACTATATTCCGGGAAAAATGGAGACTGAATGGTGATTGAAAGAGTGATTGAAGTGGTTTGAGGTTAGGGTTAGGGTTAGGGTTAGGATTAGGTTAGGTTTAGAGCGTACATGGCGTGATACGAGAGCTAATATTCCTCCATATGGAACTCGTACATCTCATTACGTGGGATATATAGCTGAGTTTTTATTCTGGCGTCAACATGATGTTAATGAGCGTATAATGGCATTTTTAGACATGATGGCCGAGATGTTTCTGATTTCTGACGAAACACAAAATGAATAACAGGTATACAATATATAAAAGGTGAAAGAAAGAGTAATTATAAGGTGAAAAAATCAAAAACAAAACCCTAACCCTGACCCTAATCCTAACCTCATACCATTTCAATCACTCTTTCAATCACCATTCAGTCTCCATTTTTCCCGGAATACAGTGTACTAGTGACATAAGTATAACTACAGTTTTTTACGAATATCTCGGAAACTAAGGCCGAGCCACGATAACATGTATAGGGAAAAGTTGTTCAGAATGATGACTTTGACAACATATTTCAAGATCACGAAAATCGGTGAGGAGGGCAAACTTCTATATAATTACCAAAATTTACAATACATTAATAAAATACACGCTTTCTTAAATAAATATTCAAATTTAAAAAAAAATAAAATTTTTACGTAACATTCGAACAACCAAACCCATCAAAATGATAGTTTCCAGATTTCTCATTTTATGTTACAAAAATTATTAAAAACCTTTTCGTCATGATGTAGCTATGTTGACTTTTTATTAGATATAGAGTAATTATATATTCTAATTTATGTTCCAACTTTTATTCATTTACTTTTCCAATTCATCTTCGATTTAAAAATAGGTCACTTGTTCCACCGTTAAACATTGTACGAAATGAAACTTTCATTTTGGACCAGGTGTTCCATGTTTATCAGTTGGAAAGCATTTTCCCAAGCATAGAGCCACGGTTATGCAACAGATGTAACAATAGTCCCCGACAAAAAAGTTGGCTATTACTTCCGGCGGAATTGAAATTGGACCGCTTTACTCGCAACGAACACAGCCACTTAAATTTCCATTTCCAGATGATAACACGCTTGTATTTCGGTTGCTCTAAATTACGGAAGTAGAACGAGGCAAAATGCTTCCGCATGCATTTTCGCAATAATGTGTGAAATAAATATGTATGCCCTGATTCGAGCTACCTTAATTACATCTATCATGAACACTCCTTTTGATGCAAGAATTCAATGAAACGTTATTTTTTTATTCTCTGAGAAAAGTAATTGTTTCCGATATTATAAGGCAGTTATAAAAGTTAAATTTTTCAAAAAGGGAAAGATATTTAATTTTCGTTGACTACTATCCATCTTTCATTTGATCTCCTAAAAGTGTTTACTTCTTCTTAAAGATTTCACGCATAAAATTACGATTTTTCATTTATTCTTCCTAAATTTAAATTTTTCGAAAGTAAAAGGATACCATCTTTAAGCCATTCGTACAAAATGGTAGAAAACATAAGAAAAGAACAGATATTTATCTATTCTAAATTCTAGATGTATATTAGAAGTACATTGAATTATCTCAAATATTTTTCGCTAAAAATATTCAATTTGTATTTATTCCTTTTTACAAACAGAACGATACCTCTCTTCAACATCACATCTCATTTCAATCACTTTCAGCATCAAAAAAAAAAATTCTTATCAAATTCATACAATCGTCACAAATATTTCATATCAGAAAAAAAAATATATGGAAACGCAAATGTCGATATTTTTGGCGAGTTTCTGCAATTGTAATAAGGTATGCATGTTTTGGCGAATGAGACAGAGGTAAAAAGACAAATTTATTGTAACGATAGCGCGCATGGGCTGTACGAGTTTAACGAGAGACAATAAAAAAGAAGAACGACGTTTGTACAATTGCGAGAACGAGAAACCGGAGGAAAATAGAAGGAATAAAATGAAAAAAATTATACGGAATATCCTTAAAAAGCGATTTCGTTTCTGTGCGCGTCATTCAAAAAACCGTCGCGATGTGTCGATCAGACACCAAACTGCTACATTATACATTGTAATCGTATAGAAGATCGGAATAAAGAGACTAAAGGGAAACCGGATGATCAGTGTGCGATATAAATTGTAAGTTATTCGATGGTTTCGTATTATTCGACAGGACTTTATTATTATTATTATTATTATTATTATTATTATTATTATTATTATTATTATTATTATTGTTGTTATTATTATTATTATTATTAATAATAAGACTGTATAACGGAGAAGAAGATGATGATGAAGAAGAAGAGAAAAACAGCTACTATATTATGTAAGTTAAATTGTATACAAAAGAAAACAAAAATTGTACGCGCTTATTATTTTTAATTTTTATCCTAGGTATCGTGTTCTCGGCATGGAAGATGGTCACGTGACATTTTCAATCGACGATATCCAGATTATTTTGTATTTTAAATTGAAAAGATAAAAAAAAAGATGAAAGCACCTTGTTCCATCGACGAATTGTATACTAAACTGCGAAGTCGTTTGTCATGAATTTAGACTGCGGATGTTTTTTATGCAATTATAACATTGTTAAAATATATACAAATCAGTTTCAATAAAGTTTCCGTACAACATTGTCGTTAGACTTTATGTACTTAATATTGTGTAATTCATGCACATAATATGATGAATAAATGTTACTTACGTTATTTTATTCAGAAATATTATGCGGTATTTATTATTGAAACAGTTTTTTGAGGAATTGTTCAACAGAAATAAAATTTTGAAAAGTTTCGTACACATTAATATTAACGCGTTAATTATGGAAGGGTCACCAATTATCAATATTTCAAACCTAATGCAATCTAATAATTAACACAATGACTGTAATGGGGGTCACTGATGGCAAGCACCTAAAATTTATATAATAAAATTATTAGAAAAAAAGGAAAAGAACACAATCTTATTTTAATCATTCAAAACCTTTTCTGATAAACTGTACACAAAAACTGCGTGAATATATATACGCATAATTTGGATAATAAAAAAATACAAAGAGGGGGTATTAATATATCCATATATTGATTAATCATTGCAACAACATAAGTGTTAATTACTTACTTAATAATTATTGCATAGCTTGATTTTGAACGTGATAATCTATCAGTCGAACACAATGTACAAAATAAAATATACATTTTTAAAACCATCTAATGAAAAAACAAATTTCTCTTCAAGTTCCGTTTCTTTGCACTGATTTGCATAAACATCCACAGTCTAATCATGGTACATGCGAATCGTTGTGATCGTTCCTAGCACAGTGGCGTCGGATAAAATCAGTATTTGAAATCTCGTGGTAAAAAAGAAAAAGAAAAAGAGCGTAGAAGTATAATAAGAATACGACAAGCACGGAGACGAACGTACTAGCGATCCTTTATCGGAACAGCTGAGACAACGATGAAGAAACTGGTCTAGCACTGCCATTTGTAAGCTACGTATTTAATTCTCATAGACTGAAACAAAAAGAAATATGAAATATTTAATTGTTAATGAAAATCGGTGAAAAGAGAGAGAATGAGCAAGAGGTAACGATGAGAAAAACAGCCATTGGGTTCTAAGGTATGAAACCCTTCAGACTGTTTTGTTTTTAATATTTAGTCAAAATATCGCCACTTACAACGCTACTTTGTGATATCATTCAGGATCCCTTTTTTCTCTTGTCCTCTTTCCTTCATGTATACTTGCGTTGCTCATTGTTTTCAAGAACAACGAGAAGGGAGAAGAGATAGGAGCAGAAGAAATGTAATTTTGATCCTTGTGACACTGTTTCAAAGGAATAGTTTCACCAAGGATGAAGAAATGTGTATTTATCACTCCCCTTATCTTCTCTCTCGTTCCTTCGATGCAAAACCCCACCATATCGTCGCCATATAATTTTTAGAGGTAATAAATGAAATATTATTGAATACAACTGGATCTTGTTCTTTATTTCATATATCTTATCTTCTTTAGCAATTTATCAACGCTAATCCTATTATACAATTTCGTTGTTCATTTTCTTTCAAAAGAATGCTTCTGATGCTATTTTTTTTATACCTGTATTTATATTTCAATTTCTTGCTTACAAGGAAACATACCGAAATGTCCGTCTCCGATTTCGATGAAACATGGTGGGTATATTAAGCAGGTGAAAATAAGGGACACATATTTTTTTATAGCTGCCCAATCGCAAGTTTAGGGAGTGAAATCACCCCTTGAAATTTCAGCAGAAAAATGGTATCTAGAAAACTATCACAAATATAAGAAAACTTCATAGGGAAAAGTTTCATGGTTTCTTGAGGTAAAACAAAAAGTGATCACAGAATTTGTATAAAGTAATTTGTTTATAACAAAAAAATGTATTGTAAATTTACATAATAACATAATAACAAAAAAGAACCAAAATTTTGTTCTGAATCCACTGATATACATATAATATAATAGATTTGCCTCTTACAGTTTTGTAAATTTTCATGTAATATGCAGACCGCGCGAATCCGCCGAGCTACGGCCGCACGAGTATACATATGTAACATGTATATGTATAGAAATACGGGCGGCTATTTTTATGAGATACACATTTATTAATCATACCAAGATCATCTAAAAGGGTACAGCCGGATATGACCACATATAGGGGGGGGGGGGAGTAATGGGCAAAAATGTAAAACACACGTTTTGGTCAATTTCTCCTACATTTGTGCATGAAAAGTATAACATTGTTAGGAAGTAATTTATTGCTTGGAAATTAATATACGTTAACA